GCATGGTGTATGATTGTCCAATGCGTGGATAACGCTCACACGCACGGCAACATGTAATTTGGTATAGTATGTGCCCTAAGGGGTTTTAGACAGATTTTAGGTACTGGTGTGTAGCAAGAGCAGGCTGACAGAAGGAACCAAGATGTGTGCAAGGGCAAAGGGCCCCTCTACACATGCAGGAAGAGGGGTCAGGACTACGTGAGGACAAAAAACCCCACTGAAAAGCGAGACAGGAGGTTCGGCTGTTGAGGGAGCCAAACAGGCAGCGGTGGAGGGGTCATCAGCCCGGAGACTCTGATGATCGCACGCTGCTCTGAAACACTTACTTGGCCTTTCTTGGGGTATCTGCTACGCAGCCTTTGCTGCGGTCGCTCTATATTTTACAGTCACTCACTGCTGCCTTTGTCCTGCCATTTTTTTCATCCTTTATCACTGCTCTCCGCTGGTTCCTCTGAACACACTTAAACCACATCTTTCCCCTTTGCTTTTATACCTTTCATTTTCCCAACCATTTTGAAACCTGCTCCAGCCTGGAAAGAACTTTTGTTACTTTGTTTAAGCCAGTGCTGGAGGTCAAAATCTTAAAGATAGTTCTAGCTTTTAAATCCAGGACTTAGCTTCTTATCTTACTTCTGATCTTTTCTCTATCCTAGTGGTAAGCTGAGTAGAGAAAGGGACTGCAGATGCAGAGCAGCTGCCAGTTGTGCCCCTAAAGGCACTGCCTGCTTTAAGTTTGGCTCTTTCTTAATCCCTTGATGCCAACCATCAAGAATTAAACTATTTCACACACGATAACGTCTTCCTTTGGTCACTTCTCCCCTTTTATTTATTTACTTTTTTACCATGCTTGTCTATTCTGGTGCCTGCCTGGGTTTAGGGGTTACCCAGCTGCCTGCCCAGTCCCGTGCAGGTAACACAAGTAACAAGCAGGAAAACCCACACACCTTGGCGTGCTCCGCACAGCATCATTCCATATGTATCGCTTGCTGTGGCTTTCCTTTCCTCCATCCTGCCTGCATTTCCCCACGAATACCACTAAGAAAATACAGGCTACCGCAGGTAACGTTCCAAACCTCTCCCATGCAAAGTCATGCCTTGGCTTTCAGAGAGTTAAGCACTAAAGCTTCTGTACTTTGCAGCACGGCATTAATTCTTTAAAGCAGGGAACTTCAAACTTCCCCTGTTTTTAAATGACGGGGGCTTTTTTAGAAAGATGATTTTGCGAAAACCTGCTGCCTTATTCATTGCCAAACAGGCCAATCCTCATCTCATTCCTATGGCTTACCAGTCGTATCAATAATTCATTAATTGCCACTGCTGCTAAAAACAATACTGTGAGGGGATCTGCTGTATTCCAGCTGCCTTTCAACAAAACGGAGCAATTGAAAACAAGGGGGATCAAGTGAAACAGTGAAAAATGAACACCCAGCTAACTTTGTGCTCTGACCATCCTTCATGCAAGACACACTCTGCATTTGTTGGGTGTTACGGTGCCGACCTTGGACTGAGCTGCGTTCCAGCATCTCGGGATATGTTTTCAAAACTCCCTTATCTTAGAACTAGACGGCGAAACACAAAGCCCAGCCTCGGGCTCCATGTGGGGAAGCAGTCCAAGGCAGAGACAACGGATCATTAAGACAAAATGAACATTTTTGAGAAGTGCGGGAAGAACGGTACCTTACTAAAGAAGGTCAGATGAAAAAACTGCATCCATAAGGATATTATTACAGTTCCTTTCATAATAAAACACAAAAAAGGGTATCTTAGTCTATTCAGGCAAAGCAGCAGATTCTCATTAACTTTAGACGAGCCGCTATTTGTTGCCAAATGAAACCAGAGAGTTCCCGTTTGGGGACATGCTGCATTCTGTCATGTGCACATCAGACAAAAAGTTATTTTGCATCCGCAGACATATTATCCATAATGAACAAATTGATCTACGGGAAAGGACCAGTAGGTAGATCCAGATGATGGCAATTGTTTAGTAGAAGCTTTTGCAACACAGAATGAAACTGGAAGAGCTGTTATCCAGAAAGAGACAAGAGGCCAAAAGTATTAACAGAAAGCAACTT